TCTACCAGGAGACACCGGCCGGTAAGCAGAGTCCTGCTCAAACAAGCATTTGGGCTGGGCCAAGAGCCAGCAGGGCACGAACAGTGTCCTACCATCTGAGCCCAGCAGGGGCTTGGCTAAAAGAAGGCCACCAAGTCCTGGCAGATCTCAGAAGGGACACTCTGGCCTCCACCCCGTGGTGCGGTGGACAGTGTTGGGCTGCCCTGACGCCCTCCAACGAAGGACTTGTCCCCGCAGCTGCCGAGCGCTCTCGGTGCACCGCCTTCAGCACCAGCCCCCCAGAGTGCCCCACCCCGGCCATCCTGTCCCCAGCAGTGCAATCCCCTGACTGCAGCCAACCTGGGGAAACTCCAGCACCAGAGCGCCGTGGGGCTGGCTGAGGCTGTCACTGAGCCTGCAACACAGGCTGCACCTGTCCCCCTGCCCACTGTGGCTTCATTCTCCTCCTCACAGGGCATGACCCCAAATAAACATCCCGTGCACAAAGCCTGTGTTCTGGGGAACCCAAGATGTCACCGTAGGCTGTTAATTTTTCCGAGATGTGTACGTCCAAGTTTCTGTGGGAGACCCACATATTCAAACCATGGAAAAAGTTTAAAGACTTAAAAAAAAGTAATATCTCTTTTCTGTAAGAAAACAAGTTTGAGGCCACTTTGACAATGGTAAAAATTCTAAACCTTTGCTGTTTTTACTTGCTTTATAAGGAAAACATTCCTGTTTAGTCTGTGGGCGCATGACTAATTGGTTAAAATTACTAGTGGCTGTGGTTTGCATTATAGGTGTGGGCGAGGTACAGCTTCTGTCAAGGAGAAGAGTCTAAAACAAAGTGGTCACAAAGGGCAGCCCCCCAGGAGGATGTGACGGAGTGTAAAGTCGGAACTTTCGCACACAATTACATTTTTTAATGGAACACGGGGAGCTGATCAGACTAAGGGTATTTCTTAGGCCGACTGGATCTTGATGACTACACTTGGGGATTTGAGGGACACTTTTGAGAGAAGGGGCAGTTCGGAATATAACCTGAGATACCACTGTTGAGCTGACGCAGGCTGGAAAAGTGTCCTTAGAAGGCTCTTGGGAACAAAGGCGGAGGACAGAGGGGCACAGACCCTTCACCTTAAGTCACTGCTGGAGCTGAACAGCAGGACGATGTGACACTACTCTGAGACTCAGACGACAGAAAGCCCGAGTCACCCAGGAAGGACCCAGCCACAGTAAAGGTCTTCAGGGGTAAGGCCTGGCTGAGGGATCTCGGGACAGGCAGTAACCACTGACCCTGCACCTGGAAGCAAGCTGACCCATCCTGTGGCATCCCAAACAAGTGGGCACTGTGACCTTAGTCTCCAAACCTCCTTAGACGAGGGCCTTCATCTCCAAACCTCAGTTTCCTCATCTGCAAAATGGGTCTTCCATTTGTCTCACAGAGACGCTACAATCAGTAATGCATACTTTAAAGACAGCATTTAACAGGAGACATGACAAATGTCAGTTTTCTTCCTTTGCTGGGGTTTCACGTTGTCTGTGCATTGGATAAGAGTCTCTTAACTGAAAGTTATAGAAACTCAAGGTGTAGGAGCTCAGGCACAAACAGGGCTGGGTCAGGAGGGGCTAGAAGAAGCTGGCTTTGGGGATGCCTGGAGTCTGCACTCAATGCTGTCAGGACTGTCCCCATGGCTTGTCTCCTCTTCCTCCCATGGTGCCTCAGCCTCTCCTCCAGGCTTCTGCTCCTCACAGGAAGGAGGAGCTTCCCTCCTGGAAGCTCGGGGCCCACAGGCTTGCAAGACCAGACGGGGGAGGGCCGTTTCCCTTTCCAGTCTGATCAGTGCGAGGGGAAGGACTGGCTGGCCCAGCCCGGAATGTATGTAGGAGAGGTCGGCCTCGCCACTGCTCCTGGCACCTCTCAGAGCAGCCACTCTGCCCCCCACAAGCCACACTCCTTCCAGAGAGGGGAAAGAGGGACTTGAGGCAGCTTGTCCCTCCTGGCTCCCCTATATCCCCCACTGCAGGTGGCACTGCCCTAACCTCCATCTCCCCTGTTTCTGAAGGTTCCCCAGCAGATAAAAGTTGCTTTTCCCACAACAGGCCAGGACTCCAGATGGGGTCTGATGTTTGCCCAGGGCCACACACAGCCCACTCCTAGGCCCCGGCCCCTGGGGTATGCCCACCCACTACACATGAGCTCGTCTGCGAATGCTCTGCACACCACCAGAACTTTCCTTTAACCATGTGCTTTGGAAAGAGCCGAGGCATCCCCCACACCTCCACAGACTAAAAACTATTCCTTTGCATGTCTGAATTTTAAATGTCAACCAAGGAGGAAATAGGATTCACCCCAAAATCTGGATTTGCTACTAACCTCCTGTATTTTATTAGTACTTTTCAAAATGCAGTCTTCGGTGAGGAAAAACACCTCCCACAGAAGGGCTCCAACACACTGAGTCTGAATTAGACAAGCAAGGTCCTCCAACAGGAGATGGTCAGGGTTACCCCAGCCACAGATGGAGGTGGCAGATTGCCTGGCCCCTGCATGAGGTCCTGGGCCTTTGTCTCTCAGCCGGGGCTTGCTGGCTTCAGCACTTTACGTTCTGCTGCGTTGGGAACAGATGAACAGAGACGCGGCATCCTAAGAACAAGGCCCGCATCAGAAACTTGGTGGTGGTCACTGCAGGCCGCCCTGGCGACCCCAATCCCTCTCCCCAGGCAGCAGTGGAGGAAAACGTCACACAGCACAAACGCCAGGGGAGGGACACAAGGGAGGAGGCAAACCAGGGAAGGGAGCAGAGTGGAGTGAGCAGGACCAGTGTCTCCTCCTTCCAGGCAGGTGGCCAAGCTCAGAGATTTCCTGCGTGACAAGGAGGGGAATGAAAACACCCCATGCTGCCACCTGCTCCTATTACCAGAGCAGGAACTCAGGTTGGGGCCCTGTGAGTGAATGAGGCTGCGACAGAGAAGTTCAGATGGGGTGAGGGCGAACAAAGGCCTCTCTGTCAGAGAAATCCCCCTGGCTGCAGGGTACACTCCAGCCACAATGGGGCTTTGTCTGGCCACAGCAGCCCCGCCAGCCGCCAGCCGGAGGGCAAGGAGGGTGTCTGGGCTGCAGCAGGCCAGGCGGAGCCTTTTCCTTCGAGGGAAGAGCAGCTCCTGGCCAGGGTTGGGGCAAAGGGAGTGGGTGGGCACCCACCACCCCCATGGCAACCGTGACCTCAGCGCCTGGGAGCTCTGTCTGGTTGCTACGCAATGGCTGGCCCAGTGACGTCAGTCAATTGAGTTTGAAATTATTAAGTACGTTCCCAAGGCAACGGGCCAGGAACTATTTATGCAGAGGAAACATGCTCCAGGCCTGTGCTGCAGGCAGGGCCCCCTTTCAGCCCTCTCTCTCTCCCCACTCCGGCCTGGGAGGCCCCTGGACCGCCTGGCTTTGTCCTATTTCTAACCACACTTCGGGGCAAACTCCCTGAAGGGCCTCTGTAGCAGCCCGGCCCACACCGCCACCCTCACTGGCACACCGTAGGCGCTCAGCACAGCAGTCTCATGGGACAGTGGACATCTGCTGTCCTTTCGGAGCTGCCAGACGCCTCAGCACTCAGAGTCCCTTGTCAGGCCCTGACATCGGGCGCCTAGACACCTGTCCTCGGTGCCCGGTGAGCAAATGGGCTACATAATTTCTGGGCCACAATGCTAAAATAAAATGAGGCCACTTGCTGAAAATAATTCAAGAGACTGTGTAGGAAACAGGCCCCAGCCCTGCCCACTGAGGGTGAACTGCAAGAGCATGGAAGTGACAGGTACACAGGTAAATGGAGGCAGGAGACATCAGTCAGAGGATAGAGGATAAGGCTCCAACCTGGAGTGGAGAAAGGTGAGGAACAAGACAGGACAGGAGCGGAAAGACCATCAGATGTGCAAAGGTAAAGCAGTCACCTAAATCTGGGCCTGAGAGCTGGCTCGGGCCAGCCAGTGGCGGTGGCTCAGGACTCAGGGGTTGGTGACTGGGTCTCAAACGTAGGTGATGCAGTCTACCCGGGCCTCCCCCAGGCTGCTCCCTCCTAATAGTGCCCTGTCACTGCAGGGTGCTGTCCAGGTCCCTCACAATCTGTTTCCAAGGAGCCACCAGCTCCCCCATCCCAAGAGGCCAAGCACAGACATCCAGCCCAGCTGCTGCCCAGGAGCCGTGGCACATTCTGTCGGTCTGGCCCAGCGTCTCTCCTCAACAGTCAGTGGCCACCGTCTGCACGCTGACCATCAGTGGCCACCATCTGCACGCTGACCAGGTGTGTGGCGACTCTAAAGAGCAGCCTCCAGTCTGGCTTTCCAGGGCCGTGACTCCAGTCAGATCCGAAGCTGGGAAAAGCCTCTGGTCCAGGGCTGGGAACCTTTCCATGATGGAAGCTGCATTAACTTAGCTGTAATCAAATGAGGCCACAATCAAGAAACTTCAATTAGACACACTTAAAAATGTACTTTATTTTGTAAAATCTAACTACTATGTACTTAATAATTTCAAAAAATGAGAACTATTTGTTAATTTTAAAGTTAACTAACCTTTTAATGACTTTGTTATGTCTGCTTTTTGTTGGAAAGCATTTGAATGTTTGGTTGTTTCAGTTGATCCTCTAGATGGGTGTCAATCATTTGTGACCTTAAGGGCGTCTTGATTTGGGTTAGGTAGGACAATGTAGATTCGCAGCAGTAAGTGGTTGGAAAGCAAGAAAGCATTTTTCAGACATGTAGCCAAAGGTGTGGGTATTCTGCTACATCATCTTTCCATATTTCAACTGGATCTTTCTTAGCCTCAAACAATGACTTGAAAATGTCATCTACCGAGAGCTCAATCAATTCCATCTGTAGTTCTTTGACAATTCCATCTGTAGTTCTGGCGACATCAAGGTGGGGCTGAAATGCTAATTTGAATGTGATATCATGATTCTCAAAGTCAGCGAACCTTTCCTTGTATTCTCCAATTAACAGGTCTATATTAACAGCTGCGTATTCTTCACATGCTGGCCATATATCATCCTGCTCATCAATGACCTTTGCTAACTGGTGAAAATGTTCATCTGAAATTTCTTTTTGAAGAAGTGTTTTGAAAAAGGATAGCTTTTTTTCAAAATGCTTAGATTTTTTGCTACATATCATGTGTAGACTTAGTTTTACCTTGTAAAGAAATATTTGTTTTGATTAGACACGGTATCACAGAGAAATGCTGCATTCCTATAGAAATCTTCTTTCAATGATTCACATTGCTGATTCTGTTCTTCATAAAATTTAACTATCTGTTCTCACAGAGATAAAATTTTGGCTGACACCTGCCCCTGCGATAGCCAACACACTTTAGAATGACACTGCAAATCCACACTGAATACCTCATTGTTCAACTCTAGCATGTTACGAAACTGATGATGCCGTGTTGCATCTGGACAAATCTAGTTAACAATACTTATAACTTGTTGCAAAGTGTCACTTAAAATAGTAGCTTTAGCAGAGATTTTGCTGATGCAAGATATGATGAAAAGAAATGAGAGCATCTGGATCTGTCAATACTTTTTTTTATCTGTGCAATAAACCCTTCATGTTTTCCTGTCACGGAAGATGCACCATTTGTACACACACTCACTAAATTTACCAAATTCAGTCCAACTTCATGACATTTATCTGGAAAGTTGTTGAAGATATCTATTCACCATGTTCAGTTCCCAAGAGTGCCCACAGTGAGTAACCCTTCATAGGAAAGAAAATCTTCTGTTACGAGCCGAATGAAGTATAAAACCTGCACTGAGTCTGTAGTATCAGTTGATTGATCCAAGCGATTGAATAATATATATTTTCCTTTTGAAGTACTGTGGAAGTTGTTCCATTAAGTCAAAGACTAATTCATGCTGCCAATCAGTTATAGTTCTCCTTGAAAGAGGCAGTTGTTCGTGCTTAAACGTTATTGGACTCTAAGTATCCCACAACTTCAACAATGCATTCGTTCACAATTTCTACATCACTGAATGGCTTCCCTTTTTACTGGAGTATATAAACTACTTTGTAAGTTGCTTCAGTGGCATTATTTCCAGGTCTTATTGCTGCTTGAAAGAATTGTCTTTGCTTTTGCTTTTTATCTTTCAATTTCTGCAATATACCCTTTCACACCTCTTTCTCTAATTTAAAATATTTGTGGTTCTTTTGAGTGTTATAATGCTGATGAACATTGACTTTCTTTAACATTGATATTGCAGTATCACAAAGCAAGTAATTTTATCTTTAGCAGAAACAAGATAATATCGCAATTCCCAATCCTAATTTAAAAATCTGTTTTCTAGGCCGGGCGCGGTGGCTCACGCCTGTAATCCTAGCTCTCTGGGAGGCCGAGGC